GTATGAATGGTTTCAGAGGTCTGGGAGATGAAGAACAGGTTTGGATGACAGGGCCTTCTTCAGAGCTTCGAAAGCAGCACTCTGTTTGGGTCCCCAGGTCCATTTTGCATTCTTTTTTGAAAGATCATGAAGGGGGTGCATGACCTGCAAGAAGCCTGAGATGAATTGCTGGTAGAAGTTACAGAAGCCAAGGAAGGACCAAAGTTCCTTGAGAGTTGTCAGAGCAGGCCACATTTTTATGGCTTCAATTTTGACCTCCAATGGTTTGTATTGACCATGGCAGATCATGAACCCTAAAAACTCTATCTCTTTGGCTTTGAATGTGCACTTCTTTATTTTTGGGCATAGGTGTTCTCTCACAGTGATACATAGGAAGTGTCAAATGGAATCACACAGACCTTCTTTGTTCTTCAAATGTATTGTGACATCATCCATAAAGATCATGGCTCTTCTCTTGCTTTATAACTCTCTGAAGGTATGGTCCATGTACCTTTGAAAGGTAGGTGGTGAGTTACACTGCCCGAAAAACATTACTGTTGGTTCAAAGAGTCCTCTAGGGGTTATAAAAGTCCCTTTCCACTCATTGCCTTCCTTTACCCATATATTGGTAAACCCCCAATGAACATCAAACTTGGTGAAATACTTAGGCACTGTTCACCCTGCAAATGTGAAGTCCAAGTTTTTGACTTCAGCTTCAGTTAAGAGGGTCACATGATGTGAACTATCATGTGCATCCACCTGAGGTATGCAACCATTGTCACCCAGTTACTGCAATCATCAAATGTCTGGCTCATCTGTGGGATCAACCCACCTGTTTCACCCACAGAACCCCCTGCCCCCCCCCCAGGACTTGCAAGAAAGCTGCAGTATGGACAAAAGAGGAGGAAGGCACATTACTGGATTTCTTGGCCTCTCATCTTTCACAGGCTGGTGATGGGAACTTTAAGAAGGCTACATGGAATGCCACAGCAGTCCACATGGTTCATAATTATTCACCAGGTCTGGATAATGGTGATAAGACAGCTGAATTATGTGAGTGGAAGTTCAAGGCAGTAAGTTGTCATATCATTCTTTTGTTTTTTGCCTTGCTAACAATTATCCAGCTTAAAAAATCCTAGTATGCCATCACCAATCTTAAATTGGTGGCCTCTGGCTTTGCTTACAATGATGAGCATGGTGTGATGGTCTTGCTGGACAACACTGATCTTTGGGATTGGTATGTAAAGATAATGTAGTTTTTGTCTTGTCAGATCATCCACTAACATCTAGTCAGGTGCACAAAGACATGAAGCTGTTTTGCAATTCTGGGTTCCCCCACTTTGCCAGTGTAGAGCTCCTTCTCCCCTTGCATGGCCAAGGTCAGTTTATCTACTGGCCACATGCCACTACCATGCCTTCTACAACCATGACCTCTGCCTTTGATACTCCTGCCTCTACCGCACCCCCCACTGCTTCGACTATTCCTGCCCCCCCTCCCTTTCTCTCCCTCCTCGACATGATGCATGCTCTCAATGCTCACCATTGTGAGGACACACAGTCCATGGATCCAAACTTCATCCCCCCTTCTGTACCATCAAGTTTTTTGTCACATGTGTCAGCTGGGTCATTGTTGTCATCAGCCATCACCAGCATCAGTTGCAGAAAAAGGAAAGCCAAGTCCACTACAATGTCCAAAGGTGGATCAAAGCACTCTTGGCCCCCATCAGCCAAAGCATGTGCTGAAGAAGATTGCAGTTCATTCATTGCCACCATCACCTCCAGGCTTGGTAACTTCATGCATGTGATCACTGCCCCATTGCCCCCACCACCCATTACCAATCCCCTTGTCAACACTGCCATGGACTACATCAACAACATGCTGCAGCTCTCAACAGACAATCAGATCAACATTGGCAACTACTTCCTCAGCACATCCCTGGATGAAGTGAATATTTTCCTCAAGCATCAGGAGCTGGAAAAGCAGATTTGGGTGCAGCATCAGCTGATGAAGTACCAGGATGGGCAGAGATAGGTGTTTTTTTTTTTTTTGTACAATATACAAATGTACCCCCTGTCATGATTGTGCATTCATCCTAAGTCCTCACTCACTCCACACCCCTTTCCACCAGTCATTCACTCACTCTGCACCAACTCCACCCCCCCCTGATGTTTGCAAGTCATCTCTGCTCTGACTGCTGTCAGACTTGTACTGCTCTCCTACCAGACTGCATGTGCTGTTCTCTGAGGAGTCATGTGGCTACCCTTTGGACTTCTCCCTGACAGCACATGATCCAGTGCCTGGACTGTTTCCTCTTTGGGATGTTCTGTGTTACCCATTCATATGTCCTCCATCTACCCTTCATTCATTGTCTAGGAAGTTTTACTTGAAGTTTTACAAGTCTCTGTATGTCAGTTCCGATTCTGATTACTGTACCTCTGTAGTAGTATAAAAGCATGTACCATACTCCACTGTTCTTCAGTATGAATATTGACTTAGTTCCTACTCCCCCTGTCTCCATCTTCTGACTGTCTGTATGTACCCCCCCTCTGAAATACAAGGGCTGAGATTGCACAAGGGGGTAGCACATGAGCTAAACCCAATGCCCTCACTTTGCTCCACCCTTATCTTGGCAAACTTCATTCCTGCCAACACTCTGCCAGTCAGAGTTCTGCTCTTTCTGTTGGACTTGCTTCCAAACCTCTCCCCAGACCTTGTCCAGCATCAGAGTTGGTTGGAGTAGGCCTGGACTTGACACCCCCCCCTGCATATCTTTTCAAGTCCCCCCCCCTTATACAAATATGTACATAATAAAATGTATGTGACTATGACTAGCTTCCTTTTGACAATGGAAGTTATTTTTGTACATGAGTGTGAAACAATTGTAAGACCATATATTTGTACACCATGAAATCTGAATGTTCAGGCTCAGAGAAGGCCCCTAATTGTAAGCTGGTGCTGATAGTCAATCCACATCTCCTCTGTGATGTTGTCATGCCTATTATCAGCCCTTCTCCTCTCTGCAGCATCTGCTGGTCCATCACCAAGGCTTCTAATACCATCACCCTCTCCTATGTCTATGGCAAGTTCAGGGTCAAAGAACTCTTCTGGATCATAGTGCCATATGAAATTGTGGAGGGCACAGAGAGCAGCAGGTACTTGAGTTTGGGTGTGGATGCTATATTCAGGGGGAATTTGAAGAATCCTCCACCTGCATTTTATAACACCAAATATCCATTCAATGGCATTTCTAAGTCCAGCATGGCAAAGGTTGAATAACTCCTCTTGGTTTTGAGGTCTATAAAATAGAAGTTACAGGTACACTGAGCAGGATGGAATAGCAACTTACCTTAATCCAGCCTGGCACCATTCTTTCAGATGGTAATGAACACCTCAATAGGGAACCAGAAGTGCATCACAGGTCCCAAACCCTGCATCTGCAAGAAGGTACTTCCCAGGTGGCATGTGCAAGTCATTCCTGTGTGCATCATGCCACATGGTTGCATCTGCAGTTGACCCATCAAAGCCAGTGAGGGCATATGTGAAGAAGAAGTCAAAATCACAGATGAAGAGACAGTTTTGAGATAGGTAGCCCTTCTGGTTCCTCATATAAGGCTGGTCCTCAGCAGCAGTGAATGCTCGAATATGAGTGCCATCAACTGCACCAATACAATCCTGGAAAAATTGGAAGTGTGGGTCACTAGTAATCATAGTTGATATGGGAGTGTTGTTGGTGGGGAATTGCACTTGGGATGCATAGAATTGTCCCCCAGAAAAGAAAGCCAATGTTGCTTTGAAATATCTAAAAAATTGTGAGAAAAATATCAGACAGTCCAATGAACTCCCTACCTAGTGATGGTCCCCAGTGAGTGTTGAAACCTCTCAGCAACATGCCAGGATGACAACCCAGTAACACAGGTGTAGAGGAATATCCCAAGTTGTTCCTCCACAGAAATTCCATTGTGAGAAGGCACAAAACCATGATGGGTGAGCACCTGCATCAGGTGATCAAAAACCCCATGGCTGATGCCAAGGCAAGTCTGTATCCTGTCTGGATGACCATTCAGGGGCTCTAGCATCCACCCCTCACCAGTCAGGATTGAGGTATGGTAGGGGATTGGTTCTGAGTCAGAATGAAAAAGGAGGTCATAGAGGCATAGCACCTGGATCATCACTGCTACTACAAGTGCAGAAAGACAGCAATGACAATGGTGCTGGAGCTGCTGTGCTTCAAGATCCATAGCAGAGTTGTTTGATCTGTTATCACAATGTTATCTATTGAACTACAAGTCATGTTGTTGTCTTATACAATCATCACATGATTACATTACTGAAGCAGAAGCCCAAAACTTGGACTTTGCATTCACACAGGCATGCACAGCTTATATAACCATCACATGACTACATTGCTGAAGTTGAAGTTGAAAACTTTGACTTTGACTTTGGAGGGTGAATGGTGCCTTAGAGTTGGCAAGTTCATCCAAGAGGGACTTCACATCAGGAAGGGGGTATGAGTCAGTGATTGTGTGCAAGTTCAGGTACTGGCAGTCCTGGATGAGTCTTCTTTTTCCATCTTTCTTTCCAAGGAAAAAGACAGGAGCAGCTTGCAATGATTTTGTTGAGGGGTGAATCTTTCCACATTTGAGATTTTTGTCAATGAGCTCATCAAGGGCCTTGAGTTCATCAAGTGAGAGCAGATAGATGGCTCCTTTCTTCGGCTGGAAGCTTGGCTTCAAGTGAATTTCATGGTTGAGGAAACCTCAGTGAGGCAGAAGAGGGATTTCTTCTTTGGAGAAGACTACTGAGAATTCCTGATATTCTGGAGGTAACTCAACTTCCACTTGTACATATGAAGCTTCGAGTTTCATGGATATAGATGTTTGGTTGATCATTATGGTCCAGGGGAAGTCAGTTCCTTGGACACAGTTTTTCTTGTTGAGGCCACAGTCAAGTTCTCCCCAACCAAATCAAGTACCTCCTGCCAATGGGGAGTAGCCATGCCTCTGGCAGATGGGGAAATGATATTCAGGGAGGACCACAAGGTTTCCATGATCTCCCCATCCACCTGGCCAGCACCCACAATGAAATTGGGAGCATATTGTGCAAAGTATTCTGTGTGGTGGCCATGAACATGCCACAACCCAATGCCAGGGCAGATCTGCATGCCATCTGGCATGGATATATAGGCATTGGCATGTAGCCATCATTCTAAACCTTTGCTATACTGGCAGTTAATGTCATGGAAATGTATCACTTGCTGGCCAGGGACTGTGCCATGTCTGATGGCATGCACAAGCACATAGTCCATGTTAACCTGCCTGTGATGTTGATGTCAATATTGTCATACATTGTTACAAGGTTATTCATACTGTTTGCCCTTCTGGAAGTCAACCATTGCATGTGGCACAAAACAGCCATGCCATGCACAGGCACATCCACCTATTCCCATAGATGCAAGCTGCTGCTGGTTGGCATTTGCTTGATTAACTGCCTGATGATTGCTGCAATCTGAGATCTTGTAGTGTGATCAGTCCATTGGGTAATACATTCCTACACATCACCCACCTCAACCACATTTTTAGTGCCACTCAAATATTCCTTGTATGGCTGTGATGTGACCATGTACCCCTTTCCATCCATCAACCAGGCTTTTCTGCCAGCATCCTTTGGATGCATATGCTCTGCCTTTAAATTCCCATCCATGACCAAGCTTCTTGCCAGTGTCCAACTGGATTACACAGTGTATAAATGGCTAGTGGTGTTCATGGTATCACTCACTGGGAATAATCTGTTGCATCTTCAGGAATGTTGATGCTGGGTTGGAGACATGCCAGATAGAATAACACTAATTCCCTGGGGCCAGCATCTTCTGCACTCATGTGGGATCCCTGCCATTTCAGTAGTTTCAGGAGCCACCACATCCTAGCAACTTTCAGCAGTTCCCTGAACCTATCCTATCATCCAGCTAAGAGTTGTGTTGCAGTGATACAATTCAACAAATAGGATGCACTGGCACTAGATGAGGAAAGGCATTGGAGGTTATGTGGCAAAGTTTGCTGTAGAAATTCATTGCTGAGGTACCACATTCTGCATTGTCCTGAACAAAGTCATCAAGTACTTGGAAGGTAAATGCAGTCCTTGCGGCCTTTGTGGTAGCAGGAAACATCCCAGCCCACATCAGCTGTATGTGTGAATCCTCTGCCCCAGGGCATCTACAACACTGCACATTGCAGTAGTGTATTCCATTGGTGTGCATGACAATTAGACAGCTTTGGTTCCTTGGGGCCTGCAGATTTGGTGGACAACCATCTTGATCCACATCCTCCCAATCATCTTCCTCCTCAGTTGTGACTTCATCATTTGAACAACCACTGGCTGGGCAGTGCTTCCCACCATGCCCAACATGCAGTACCAAACTGGCCTGAATGGTAAATACAGGAACAACCATCATGATTCAGATGCTTACCAGCTGCAGGGATGATTCCTCAAAGAATGTTCCATTCCATTGTTCCACCCTGTGGAATGGCTGGTGCTTGTGTTCTGCCCAGCAACACATGGTGCAGAAGACTGGCCAATGGGCACACTCAGTGCACTGGAAAATTCCATCTGCTCCACACAGGACAAATCCCTTGGCTCAGGTGGGGCCTCCATGTCCAACAGGATGGCTAGATAATGCCATTGGTGCAGCAACCACTGCTGCAGATAACTATTCTACAATTGTGTGACACTGTCATTGCAGGTTTGTTGGGCAATGTGGCATTCCACACACCTGACTTTTCTGAGGTTTAGGAGGTGTTGCAGGCAATACATCATTATTGGATGGCAGTTGTTCACCCACATCATCCAACAGGCAGTCCAGGTGATCCAGGATAACAGAGCCAGGCTGCACAGGAGGCTGAGTTGCATGGCCTGGCACCTGCTTTCTGGGTGTTACTTTTACCATCTTATCCCTATATCCTTGGGTGGTTTTCACTCTTTTCCAGGTCACCTGGGTCACTCTTGTAGCAGGTCCCACTGGTGCAATCTCTGACTTCCCCATGATGAATGTTGCAATGCAGAAGGTTTTGATTGCAACAAATACATGCAGCCAACACATGCTAGCAAGGTCTGACCACTGACTATGGTAATGCTGTCTTAGGATCTGGCACATGATTTCAGTGCTGGCACCTGCACATTGCCTAGAGATCAATGAAATGAATGAGCACTTGCAAAAAGCCTTGTCCTACATCATGCCCATAGTGCCCATACCATCCACAGCATCTCAATGCACATTGCCCAATTACCAAAGATCTCAGATCCATGAAGTCTGAGAGGCACTGCCTTTGCATGTGGCTCAGGGATGGAAATCTCATGATTGACTAACAACCTTAGCCATCTTGGGAAACTGTCCAATCAACTGGCATGCAAGAATGGAATAGACACCAAAATGTAACCTTCATTGACATGGGAGAATGCTGGAGAAGTCTACTCTCTTCAATAGACATCATACTAGCTGTCCCCTGAAAATTTGCACACAAGCACCTCCATCCTCAATGGCATCCAGTGACTATGAAAGTGACTCTTTCTCCAACAACACCAAAACCCCCCTGCCACAAAAGGGGACCAGTCTTCAGCCAGCTGAAATTGAGATTCTTGAGGCTGAGCTAGAGTCATGGAAAAATGCTGACCAAAACAAGAGGAGCTCCATCATGTTAACCCTCAGAAACAAGATAAAGAACCTTGATGTGAATGTGATGCTGAAAATGCATGAATGGGTTTGGAAGAAGAAGGTGTGCTACACCTCCCATTGATTACCTGGCATGTCCTTACCATTTCCAGGCAATTCAGACTTGGTTGTACAACCACAGCTGGAGCCATAGTTGATGGGCTCTGATCAAATATGGTGGCAGTTGGACACTGAGGAAGGTGGTCATGCACCATCAAAAGAAATCAATCAAAAAAGTGTTGGAAGAAGCTGGGATCAAGCAGGGATCCACAGAAATGATCAAGTCTTATCAGAAGGCCATTTACACTGTCATGAAGTCCCTTACTGCCAAGGAGATACAGGAGGCCAAGGCATTGGCCAAAGAATGGAATGAGCAGCAGCCACCTTGGGATGTTCAGTCAGAGTACATACCATTTGGCAATGCTGCCCATCACTCACAAGAAACAGAACTGCAGAGAAGAAAGGCTGTAAATATGCTGAGGAATTTGCTAAGGAAATGTGGAAGTGGTGTGGTGCCAGGGTGGTAGTGATGGCAGCATAGGAATATGCCAATGGAGAGGTGATAGTTGGAGTGTGAGGAATTTGTTCTTTGTGCAGATGAGTACTGCCAGATTTTGACCAACTCATCCAGACATGATTTCAACAATGAATTGTGTAATGGCAAATTATTTGAGGAGTTGGACAAGTGCCAGGATATATTCATAAAGTATGCATGAATGGCATTTGGGAATGGAGGCACCGATGCCGAGTCACCAGACAAAGATGCCACTCCATGGTCAAAGCAGAGAAAGAGCAATGGGAAACCTAAAACCATCCTGCTGGTCAGTGAAAATGGCACACCATATGTCCCGAACATATTGGACATGCAGGCACCAAAGTTGAAGGATATCATGCAGACACTTGTGACATTTCACTATCGTATGTATAACAATCAGAGAAATACTGTTCATTGACATGCATTACAGGGAAGGCCTGCAGGAATTCACAGGTGACTGTTCCATGGAGTGCAATAGTGACCAACACTGCACTTTATATTGCACCACAGTTTCTGCCACCTGAGGTTCCCTTCAAAGAGCCAAGTCAACTTACCCAGGATGAGTTGACAGCAATCTTGGAATGGTGGCAAGAGCAAAAAGAGCAGCATCCCAACAATATGTTTGGCTTCAAGAAGTGGAGAGATGCTGGAGGGTCCCTCTGAATGCCAGTGGCAGAGGCTGACAGCAGTGGAGTGAGGATGGGTGCAAAGCAGGATTTGGATGGGAGCCCAGACCAGTCAGCAGGCAAAAGGACAATGGATAGAATGATGTGGGGTAGGAAGAAGCAGTGACAGCAAACAGGTATGAAGGTATCCATCTGGAACTTAAATGTGTGGCAATATTATCTAATGGGGGACAAAGTTGTAGGGTCTGATTCTGACAATGAATCCAATCTCTGTCATATACCACCAACATTGCCATCAAACAGAAATGATGGTACAGGCACAAGCATGGTGGATGAAGACACTGCAGAGGCAGTACCATTGCCAGATTTGGATTCCCAGCAGTGGATTGCTGGATGCCAAGTGGCTGAGGGTGACACCTGCTGGCCAATTGGTAAGCCAGCAGGATCACAGAAGCTGAATATTGTTAACATTAATGGCTGACATGTTTCAGCCATTGGCAAGGAACCACCAAATGCCTGGTGGCAGGTTGTGGGTGGCAATACAAGCCCTGTGCAACCTATGCCAGAAGGCTGCCACATTGATTCACCTGATTCTCTCTGCCTGGCAGATCCATTGGCAGTGCCAACAACTATCAAGAGAGGCCATAAACAGGAAGATTCAAAGCACAAGTTGCCCATTTCATTGATGAGTCAGTACTTGTGCCACGGTCACTGAATTGTTGATTCAATTTATCTCTCAATCCTAGTACCCATGCACTGGACCAGCATAGACAATGCAAGGGGTATGTGGCAATCAAAATGGGTGTGGAAGGCACCAAAGTGGCCTGATGACAATGTTCCTACTCCTAGTCCCTCCAAGAAACATAGGCGATGTTAGCATTTGTATTTTACATGGCCATGGAATTTGATACTACATTTTGACAACCAATAGCTATAATTACAATAAATCTTCATCCAGTTCCAATTCATCCTTGCCATCCCAATCACTGGTCATCAAATCTTGTATATATTGCTGAGTCCTTGCCAGCTGTGCTCTCCTTGCAAGCAACAGGCAAAACTGGATGCTTGATTCCACCAATATATTGCTGTAGTGGTTGTAGGCTGCAATGATTGGCCCATCAGTGGTGGTGTTAAGACAGGGTGGGTGCTCATCAGTTGGTCCTGCAAGAAGAACCACAAGCCACTGTGCTTTTTCCACTGCTGGATGATTGATATATATGTGAGGGATATCATAAACAACTTACATGTTGTAAGTGGCCCTTCATCATGAATTCCTTGTATACCCAAGTCACTGGCAAAACATTGCAGCACCAAAAAGTGAGCTAATACACTTAATACTGGCGGCAACAAGAGATGACATGGCACTCACCAGTGGTGGCATCAGTGGCCATAGGCCATGGAGATGGTTGCTGTGATGTAGCTGGGATGGGCTGTGGCTCAGAGGCTGCTGCACCATCTAGCCACTCATCCATATATGCATGATCCAGGGGAGATGACGCAGTTTGTGGAATTTGTGTGGATGCCAGCAATGATCTAGGTGGGGGTGAGGCTGCTGGGGAAGATGTTGGTGAATCCCAGCTAGGCACAATGGTGGCCAAGGATGGCATGGAATGACTTGCTTGCCATGCCTCCCATTGTTGATCAGCAGCAGATGGCTGCACCTCCAGTGAAAGTGGTGGGGAGTCCCAAGATGGTGCAAGCATGCTGAGCAATGGCTGGGAAGGGCCAGCATTTGGCAGCATGGAGGACAATGGTGATCCTAGCTGATGGCCCCAAGCTGTGGCATTTTCAGCCACTCTGAACAGTAGAAATTCTGGTTCATCTACAATCATATCTGTATTGTCAGCACCTGGCAATACCCAAGGTTTATTACATGGGGAGATGACTGGCAAAGGTTATTGACAGTTGTATGTTATAACAACTACTTACATCGAGTGTCCAGACTGCCCAGCCTCCACCTTACTGACTTTTGCTCCATGATATTCAGCAATCTGTAGTATGTTGATAAGTTGATTGAAATATTGTTCAATTGTGTCACAATGTCAGATTTGGCTATTTGGGCTTGTTTGTCTACCAGCCAGTGTTGATGCCAGCACAATGGTTCATGAAAATATAAAATGCAGCTGCACTGCTGACACAATTGTCAACTATCACTTGACTGCACTGCTCTCACACTAGTACCCCACTTCCACAAAAATGTCCCAACATGCTGAAGCATCCCAAACCACTGCTGTCACTCCCTCTGTCACTCTCCCACATGAAATAGTCACTAATGCTGCAGACATAGTCATGGTGGAGCTTTTGATGCTCCATGACCACAGGAACAAGCAATACTGGAAAAGAGCTATGCATGTCATTTGAGAACAGTTGGTTTGTGGCATGCCAATCTATTTATCCTCTGATATTTACAACATTCCAAACCCATGTGCACCCTTTGGCTGAGGAACTGCCCTCAAAATTCACCATCCCCACCCACATCATCACTGCCAAAATGATTATGACAGATCCAGTGGTGCTTACAGCATTGAAGGAGTGGCCAAACTTTGACAAGATCAGAGACACAATGGATGCCAATGTTGTGGACCATCTGTGGTACCAGATTGAAAGGCCCATCAACAAGGGTAAATGGCATGCAGTTCCATTAGACCCACTTCAGATAAGTGACAATGCTGCTGCCACTGCTGACACTTTGGAAGAACCCTGTGGCCAATCAACCAGTTGCACTGCTCCTACTGGCACTTGGCCCAGAAGTCAAAGGCCACAGAAGCATACAAGGTCAGTGGCAGCAAGTGATGCCAACATTTCAATGGCAACTGCTGGAGCATCTGCTGGTTGTGGCCACTCAGTTGCAGCTCTTGCAACCCCTGCTGCTGGCTATATGCCTGTTGCTGAAGAAGACCAATGCAATAGGTGCATGGAGAAAAATCTGCCATGTGTGGTCAAGCCAGGTTCTGCATGTTGGCAGTGTAGCTGCCAGAAGTACAGGTGCAGTATCTTCACTGGAGTGAAGGCTGCATGGTCACGGTCAAGGTGACCCCACAGTCATGCTGTAACTGAGGCACTTGATGGAGCAGTGGACTGTCCCCAAACCATCACAGCCACCCATCCCCCCAGCTGATGCCATCCTCAAAGCCCTTCACCAGGGCCATCAGCCACAATATCCTTGGAACCCACCACTCCCATGTGGCAGACCCAGAAGTGGTGGGCAGCCACTAGAAGTATGACACCTGCCACTGGCAAGACAACCACCTTGGCCACTCCAAGCTCCTGCAGGCAAAGTAAGTCCTCCATTTCTTTCATTCTGCTATTCTTATTCGAGCCTAACATAGTTTTTGATGGAGTGGTCATTGTCACTCCATCCTGGCAGCAGTCAGGTCAGCAGACATCAAGCCCAGCATCCCAGGGGGCAGCAACATCCCAAAGCTGTCTCACTACCCCATCCTGCCCAGTGACCCCCAATGCCACCCCCATGGAGTGTATGGAAGAGGAGATTGCAGCATTGCAGCAGCAGCATATGGAGATGGCACAAGATCTCCTAGATACCCACCATGAGCTTGCCAATACCCAGCAGGCCCTTGCAGATACCCAGACCAAATTGCAGATGCTTTGCAATCTTGTTGAGGCCTTACACCAGCACCTGTACCCATTGCCACATTCCTCACCTGATGCACCTGGACCCTCCTGCCCCTCCCCCACTGGCTTTGCAATTACAAGTCATCAAGCAGTCATTCCCACTGATGGTGCAAGGATACTTGACCTTGTGCCCACTACAATGGTCCAGGGGGTTGCGATTGATACCAGCATCCTCCAGAACCTCCCAGGTGATATGCTTTTAGCCCCTTCTACTTTCCTGCCACCCCCCCACCATTTTGCATACTCATCCACTGCTGGTGTAGGAGAAGCCCAGCCCCCTATCTATGTCTCTTTGGGTGCAGTTGCCAACCACGCCAGTGGGAACAATGCTGATGATGAGGATGCTGCTAATTGGATGGACATAGATTAACATGTCCATAGAATGTACTATTGCCATTTCATCATTGCTATTCCTAAGAATCATCATCCCCACCCACTTTTGCTTTACATGGTGCAGATATGGTCTCTCTGGTGTGTGCCATCCCATTTGAGTCTGGCCAGGTGACTGGCCTTGTGATTTATAATTCCACTGGTACAGATAAGCTAGTGCACACCAGCAGCACCCTCAAATCATGCATGGTACTTGCCACATATGTCCTGCACAATTGCAAGGGTTTAACCCTCTGACCCAGGTTGTGGCCATGCAATCATGGCCTATGCTGCTTAATGCTGATGCTACCAGTGAATAGCACTTGACATTGCCCATTCCTGTGTATGCCACCACTCATTCCCCTCTATGCTGCCTGATGCTGTCGACACCCACCCCTGCTGGCACCTCACATCCATGCTGCCAGCCCATTCCTGACTACACTGCCACTCATTGCTGTCTATGCTGCTCCATGCTGTCAACTTCTGCTTCTGCCCCCTGCCAGTACCTCATATCCATACTGCTACCCCATTCCTGCATATGCTGCCCAATGCTGTTGACCCCTGCTGGTACCTCATATCCATGCTGCCACCCCATTCCCATCTATGCCACACAATCCTGCTGGCTTCTGCTCTGCACTAGTGATTACTGCTCCCTGCTTGCTACTGCTGTGTCATGCCAGTGAGTTCTGCTGGCAATGCATGTTGCACTCTCCTCACTACCCCACCCTGTCTCTATATGCAAAACTATGCCAATGCATATTAGTGTATGTGACCATATGCTTTTACATCTTCACTGGCTTACCATGTTGCAAAAAAGTAAACTGTCATGACAATCTCAGTGGCTTGTCATGTGACTGAGATGCCTAATTCAATGGCATAACAATGGCAATGTAATGATATCTTATCTTGTCTCATCATATCAATGCCATAACAATACTCCATTCAGTATTTGGATGTGTACCTTAAGCCCAACAAATCATTGCAAGTGCATGTGACATGATCATTATTGATTTTCTGATCTAACTTATCAATTACATAACATAATATTATGGGTTGTTTCAGACCCAAATCAGCTTTGCCCATTGCCTTCCATCCACCATGCCCCCACATCAAAATTACCAGCAGTCAAAAGAGTTGTCCACTAAGCAACCTTGCAAGCACTGCAGTAATCTCTATCTACCACAAGGAATCAAACAGCACAAGACCAGTTGTGTGAAGGAGCATGTGAACTGCAAAGAATGAGACAAACACAATAAGGCATGCATATGAGATGTTCATCAAAATAAGTCAATACCTTTCCCCCCTCTCATCTGTCCATTAATTTACAATGGTTGTTTACTAGCTGAAATTGCTAAGGAAGCAGTCGCAGCTACATCCACATTGTTAGTGCACCCTGGCATCACTGGGTCTTCAGGCTCTGCAGCAGCTGTAATACCAGCACCACTCAGGCAGCTGTCAGTGGGCCCTTCACAATCAATTCCCAGTATGTAGACTGCCTTAGTGTTGCTCTCAATGCTTACACTTTGCAAGACAGGATCACCAACTGGCTTTGCTCTCAATGAAGACAACATGTTGATGGGTATGATGAGTCCTCATGGTAGGAATATACTGGACTCAGGTAAGTTTAGAATGTTTGTCTCTAACTGAAATTCAACTAATCTCCTGTTGTTTGTGATGAATCTCGATTCTGACATGTCAATTGCAGCCCAAGTGGCAGGTCACTCAGTGAACTCTGCTGTGCCAGATGTCCAAAATGACCATCATCCCAAATTCAAGACTGAATTTCATCCCCATAGCAAGTGCCCAACACTTTTCCAATCTGCTGAAGAGTTTGGCCAGCAAAACCTCAAATACATGGCCCCAGACTGTGAGCCCTGGCACCCTTTTGCTTTGGAGGGTGATTACATTTTTGCTACTGTTGCTGTTGAAGCTGAGCTTAGCTCAACTCAGGTTGATTCCCTTCTCAAGTTGATTCATTGTATATGGCAAGGAACAGCAAGTGTCACACTGCATAATGATGCTGGGCTTTGCACTGCTTTTGATAGAGTGGTGGCACAACTAACACCAGTAAGTTGTTTATTTCCAGTGCACTTTTGACAAGTGGCTCACTTCCCAGCCACTTGTCAATTCTTGAAGTTTGAAATTGCTGTGCCCTATAAGGGCAGTGACATGATGTTCCCATCCACATCTGCCCTCTGTGGGACTGGGCCCTCAATTTATTGCAAAATCCTTTTCTTGAACTGCACTTCATCTGGGATGCTGAATGGGTCTTCAAACTTGATGGTGAGATGTATGAATGCTTCTACACTGAACCTTGGATGGGCAATCATTGGTGGGATATTCAAGTGCATTGTAATTAATATTATTTCATACCATTGTACTGTGTCAATTCACTGTGTTTCTTCCTGTTATGCAAATGAAGTCACAGTTACCCACACATGTGGAGAATGCTGTTCCATTTGCATTTATTCATTACACTGACAAGACATGGCTGTCATCTCATGGTACTGTCAAGGGTTACCCCATGGTAGCACTGTAGGGAATGAGTTTGAGTTCCCTAGAAGAATTTGTCTTGGTCAGGAGTTAGGGGTTGAGGGACTTGTGTTATTTCTTGTGTTTTGTTTTCATGTTTGGACCACTGGACTTGGTGGTGAGCAGCTGTGTTGCTGACTAAGCACATGCACTGTGTTCATGCAAGTTCAGTTTACCAAAAAAAACAATTCATGTCACAGGCCCTCAGTAGTAGGGTGATTTCATCTCACATTGTGGCAAGTTTTTGAGGATAGAATTATTACTTTGGGGAGTACACAAAGGGCCAGGAGGACTGGCAAGACATTTAGATCAGTAGGAAGACATCCCAGAGCTAAGTCTTCATTTTAGTTTGCATTTTTACCTTCTTACTACACCTTTCTTTCTCCACACAGGACCTCCCTTTTGGGTCAAGCACAAATACTCACCCATTGCTGATAATTACTATTTCTAGGTATCTTCTATTACCTATTCCTACATCTGGAGCCCACCACAAGGGGGGTTCTGTTTGTTTTGGGGAAAGAAGCTACCTCTTTATCACCACATGAAGTTTTTGCTAAATTAAGTTGGACAAGCTAAGTACTCAGAATCTCAATTCTAGTTACAGTCTACACTCAGGAACTCCGGAATTTTCTGAATTAATTTTTCAAGCAGCAAATGTTGAGTGAGCGATGAAGTCAAAGATCCCTCAAGCCAAGAAGCAGATCCAAAGGGAAATTAATAGTTGAGTTTCTGCAAAGAAGCCATGAGAATGCACCAGAAGAACTTGAGGGACACACCATGGTTGTTGGGGTGTGCATCTGACCTTTTTAGGTATTTCAAAGAGGTTTGAAGTCTTTGCAAGCATGAGAAATGCTTTGATGACCAAGAATGGGCAAAATGGGCTTGCTGGTATGCAGGTGGTGAAGTTTCCGACCCTTGGCTCCAGTTTGTAGAGGATCAGTTCAGTTGGCCTGAATTTGTGGTGGCCATCATGCATTTGTATCCTGGGTCCCAGAAATTGGATTGGCAGCATTTAAAGGATGACCTTTACAGTCTTGTTGGCAGTTGAGCAAAGAGAGAAATTCATACAGAGGAACTAACAAATTACAGGCTTTATTTTCTTGATTTAGCAACATATCTATGGGTTTCGAGGAAACTTGAGGCTGACAAGCATGAAGACTTCAATAAAGAGTTTTGGTGCGAAATTGTTCAGAAAATGCAACACAATGATCGACAGGCGATGCTCTGACAACCCATGGCCCATGCAACAAGTAACATTCATAGCTACAAGACTACTTCAGAAGGGATTTTGCTCAGAGCGAGTGCAAGTATATTCTCATCAAGAGCAGCCTGAACCCAAGCCTACAAAGTTTTTTCTGGTTGATTCTACATATGACTCACTGACAGCTAGTCTACAGAGACCTACAGAGCTACAGGAGTGTGTCCAGCATGAACAAAGGGCAGTGGCAAAGCTGGAAGGTCATGCATGTGCAAAAAACCAGGCTGAGGCTCCCTTGGCACACTCAAGTCACATGCAGCCACACAGTCCATCTGAGAAGACAAAGAGTGAAGACTGAAGCCCCAGCAGGCTTGTCAAAGCAGCAGTGGCAGCCCATTTTGAGACAAAAGAGTTTTCTTTGAGTATGAACAAACCACTGACTATGGAATTACAGGAAGCAGCAAAGCTCCAGTGAGTCAAACCAGCAGCAGTGGAAGAACCACTCATGACGAAGGAGCCATTCAAATTTGAGGTGAGCAAGTGTGCTCAGAGGGGTTTTTCATTTCATTTTCACTGAGTTTCTCAACTAGCTACTGATACTTTCAGTTTAAGATGTCAAAGTCTCAAAGAAAACACTGTCAAGGTTCCTGCAGTCAGCGAAGAGGTTCAGCAATTGGCAGATGAGTTACTTGTATCGAAGATTCCACTCAAATTTGAAGCAGAAAGGCTCAAAGAACAGGTGATGCCCACAAGAGTCAAAGTTGAAGAGCTCGAAATGCTTGCAGGCAGCCCCAAAGCGAAAAGGTTGGCAGATGAAGAGGTTGTTGGCTCACACAGGATGCCACAGTGCACAAATTGTGCTGATTCGAGGGTTATTGCAAGAAGAAGCAGGATTGAGGAGCCATCGAGGCACATAATGTACCTACTTTGTACTGTATCATATGACCAAACAAGGTTGACAATCAGCTGTGTTACACAGACTGGCTAAAGTCAAGCCCACCTCTGAGTTGTCATTGTGTCACACAGCATAGCCATGATCATTGGATGTCACCTTTGCAACACCATCTGCAGAGGGCAGAATGTCCCAGATGAGCCTCTGAGGTCATCATGGGGCATTGTGCTGGTCTGCAAAGGTAACTTAGGAGGATGTGCCATCATAGCCCACTGAGGCTGGGATGGGACACCCCACTGACTTTCATAAGGGGACTCAGGATGTCCCATGGCAGCCTCCAAGGCTGCCTTGGGACATCCCTCCCTCCCCTTTGCCAACCAGTGGGATGTCCCACAACAGCCTCTAAGGCTACATTGGGACATCCCACTGTTCCCTCTGCCAAGCAGTGGGATGTCCCACAACAGCCTCCAAGCCTACATTGGGACATCCCACCCTCCCCACTGCCAACTAGTGGGATGTCCCCCAACAGCCTCTAAGCCTACATTGGGACATCCCACCCTCCCCTTTGCCAACCAGTGGGATGTCCCACAACAGCCTCTAAGGCTATACTGGGACATCCCACCCTCCCCTCTGGCAACCAGAGGGATGTCCCAACACAGCCTCTAAGGTGTTGAAGTAGTAATCCACACTAATCCTACAAGCACCATAGGGAATCCAATGCAAGGTAGCTCCATGGTCAGAGAAGCTGCTTGACACTGAGAGGGTCCTGGCTCAATGCCAGCTCTGGTCACATTTTCATCAGGTTATGAGCTGCATCTGGAACCCATGCATGCTCAGTACAATGGGTCATGCAGCATCCTTAGTAAGTCCAGATCATGTGAGTTACATGGACACAAGGTGGTTGATAGTAAGGCCTCCTGGAAACACAGCAGTAAATCCTGATCCATCACATGACACAAGGTCAAAAGGCAATCAGACCATTTGCATGACCCTAGGGGGTGTGCACTGTTTTTACACTCCAAAAGTGGCCAGATGAAGGGACCACATTGGAGATGGTGCATTCTGTGCATTAACTTCATGGAGATATGTTCCCACAGTGCTAGTCTAAGCCCCCAAGCTATGGACATTAGTACCCAGACCATATGGCTCAGTGGTTGCAGCACCTGGTAAACACCTAGGAGGTCACTGGTTCAATCTTAGGACTGGTCCCATTTTCCTCATAAGGCTACTTTGGGACATCCCTCCCCCCCTCTGGCAAGCAGTGGGATGTCCCATGACAGCCTTTGAAGCTACACTGGGACATCCCTCCCCCCCTCTGGCAAGTAGTGGGATGTCCCATGACAGCCTCTAAGGCTACATTGGGACATCCCTCCCCCTCCTATGGCAAGCAGTGGGATGTTCCACAATAGCCTCTAAGGCTACATCAGGACATTCCTTCCCCCCCTCTGGCAACCAGGGGGATGTCCCACAATAGCCTCTAAGGCTATATTTGGATATCCCTCTCCCCCTCTGGCAACCAGTGGGATGTCCCACAACAGCCTCTGAGGCTACATTGGGGCATCCCACCCTCCCCTTTGCCAAGCAGTGGGATGTCCCACAACAGCCCCTACACCTACATTGGGACATCCCTCCCCACCATCTGGCCAGCAGTGGGATGTCCCACAGCAGCCTCTAAGGCTAAGTTGGGACATCCCACCCCCCTGTCTGGCCAGATGTCCCACACCACTCTCCACATAACACAAGGCCAAAATGCTATCAGACCATTTGCATGATCATAGGAGGCATGCACCCTTGTTGCACTCCAAACATTTCCAGATTGAAGGACCATGTTGGAAATGGTGTATTCTGTGCATTGCACTCCACATAGTTTTTTTCCCACCTCACTGGTCCATGCCCCATGCTACTGATGCTATCACCTAGACAATATACACAGCGGAGCAGTCAGATCACCTGGTTAACACCTAAGAGGTTGCTTCAATCCCAGCTCTGGTCACATTTCCATCATAAGGCTACGTTGGGACATCCCACCCCCCCCCCTCCAGCAGCCAGTGGGATGTCCCACAACAGCCTCTCAGGTTATGTTGGGACATCCCATCCCCCTTCCATAAACCAGTGGGATGTCCCACAACAGGCTTTCAGGCTATGTTGGGACATCCCAACCCCCTTTCCAGAAACCAGTGTGGGATGTCCCACAGCAGCCTCTCAGGCTATGTTGGGACATCCTATCTCCCCCTCTGGACATCAGTGAGATGTTATACAAATGCCACAGAGGCAAATGTTGGACATCCTACCCTGTATCTCTGACATCCACATTGCCCTCTGCCCACAATTGGGATATATATTGTCACATTGTAACAGGCTCAATCAATGGCACCAATCAGTTCAAGTCAGATCACCATGATTTTTGGAGATTCAGAATCAGGGCAATGAGACACAGGTCTGCCTTGCAGATGTCCATTTCACATATAACCAAGATTGTGAGCCCATTATTGCATAATTCTTCACACAAGATTCATATCCTTTGAGCCCTGTGTAATTTCTAGAGAACAGTACCAAAAAATATGTGCAGAGATGAAAAGTCAGTGACCAAATGAGCAGTGAGCAGTGAATAACTGCATTTGAGTGGGTGTAGCCATATGCATGAGTAGTTGCTGACATGATCAGGTTCACTCAATGGCTCCAAATGTCCTATACATATCAATGCCTGAAATAGTCATGGCACCCAAAGAATGCTATTCAAATTGTATCCAGCAATCATACCCTGCAGATCTCAAGTGTTGTATTATTTCTCAATCTCATGTCCTTCTACTATGATTTTATTTGAAGCAAGTCTTGAGATGTGAGGCAAGGGGACACAGGTAAGGGGTGGCACATGATTGGTAAGCAGCCACCAAGTGTAGATAAGACAATACTAGGTGTAGAACTTCAGATCACAACAACACACTGCATAATTGCATAAATTTTTGGTACTGTTCTCTAGATGATACACAGGGCTCCAAGGATATGAATCTTGTGTGAAGAAATATGCAATAATAGGCTTCCAATCTTACTTATATGTGCAATGAACATCTGGAAGCAGAGGGCTCTCTGCTGCCCAAAAAGCATTGAAAGCCTGCTGGACAATTGATATATAGAAGACCACTATTAGTTTGCTAAGGTGTACAGATGCCTAGATCACTTGCAATTTTGATTGTATATGTGAAATCAGCCTATGCTTTTTCAGACTTATATAGTGCTAGAACTAGTCTAATCTTTACACCAGGACCTACATCTAATTTCCCTGATTCTGAATCTGTAAAAGTTGTGGTGATCTGACTTGAATTGATTGAGATATCAAAGTTATAACATTTAGCTACTATATGTGTGTGATTTTGTTTATTTGGCCTTGCTCTCAGTTTTGAAAATAGCTGTAACATGAGGAGCAACAAGGCACAAACACAGTAGCTAGGACTGCTGGAATTGTATATACAGACTGAGGCATCATGTACAGTGCCTAACAGCAATGGACATGTGATGGACATTGGTACCATATGTGATTTGACCCTGGACCACCCCTAATAAAGAGTTGATAAGTGGCCAGTACTGAAATGTAACAGTAATGGCTGGGGTGACTGACACGAAACTATGGGATGCAGTAGAGGATTCCCAGGCAATCAGGGAGAAAGAAGGAAAACACCAATTGGATCACCTGATCTTGAGGTATACACTAAACTGCCTTGAAACCCTTCAAACACAACAGTGGGAATATCTCAACAATGAGCAAGCAGAATTGGATGAACAAGGGCACCCCATAAATGGGTCAGTGAGAGGGATTTGTGGCTCAAAAAGCGAGAGAAGTGGTGTGGATATGCATGAGGTATGATGAGAGGACCTCAAGGGGTGGGCCTTGCCACAAAAATGCGAACATCTCCGTAACTACTGCACCAATCACAATGATCTAGACATCTCCAGGGAGTCGTCATCTAGTAGTGCGAGTCTGCAAAAAAGCAAGAGACATGTCAGAGAAACCACTGAGATACAGCCCCAAGATGATAGGGGTAACTCCGGGCAAGTGCACAAGCAGGTGATGACCTCAGGACAATGGCTGGGGTGATCAACACAGGCCTCAGGAAGGTGGTCAGGTACTCATAGATAAACACAGAAAAAAAGGAGCCACCATGATTGGACCATCAGATCTGGAGCTATGCACGAAACTGTCTCACTGCCCTCCAAATACAAAAATGGCGATATCTCAATAGCAGCTTCATGGAATTAGACAAAAGAGGCCCCCCCAGAGAGGTCTCGGTGAGGGGAACGAGTGGTGCAAAAAGCGATAGGAAAGGCACAGGACTGAGTGGAGAGCTGCAGACTTGTCCCCTGAATCTGATGGTAACATCATCGCTGACACCAGTGACATCAATATACAAGTGGCACATGACAAATATGTTGTAGGGGAAGCAAAAACTACACTAGTAGTAATCTTCATTTATATACTCCTCAGTGAAGTCATCCTCATATTGTGCAGCATTACCCCTGTTAACCCAATGAGGTTCACCTGACTGGGTTGGAGGGTAGTAGTCATTGGTATATGGACCGTTGTAGTAAGGATGGTTGGTTTGAGATGGAACATGATGGAATCCTTGGCAAGATGGAGGAAATTGATTGCAGTGGCCAGAAGGTAACAGCTAGAGAGAATGCAAGTCAACAGTGAAACCTCTGCAAAATCGAATTACTCACATGATATGGGATATTAGATGGGCCAGGATCTTGGCAAGGATGGACAATGTCCCCCACAGGACAGGCAGAGTCATCAGACTTGTATGTGGGTGGCGAGGATGGGGGAAGTGGGGACTGGGCACAAGAAATGGTCTGAGCATTGTGAGCATGTGCATCATCATCATCTAGGAGTCAACATGTCAATATGAGGCAGATGCATATATAGATAGTAACAGAACAGGATCACAACAATTCTTTATCTATATAACAACCAAGGGAATGATGGGTGGCAGGAAATGGTCATGAGTATCCAAAGCACCAAGCTTTGAAACACAAGTGGGCACCAAGCCCACCATTGCATGGCCAGAGAGGCACCAAACCCCAAAGTCAAAAGAAATGAGAATTATCTGAAAAAAATGTGAGAGACTGAGGGATATGAAACAGAAAAACCTACCACAGGAGTTGCTTGAGCTCTCTGTCTTGTCATCATTCTCATTCTCATTGTAATCAGAACCCTTGTCGTCATCATCACTACCAGGCAGCTGGTCATCCTCTTTCTCACTACCAGATGGCAGGTCATCCTCTTTCTCACTACTCGATAGCAGGTCATCCTCATTCTTGCTACCAGACAGCTGATCATCCTCATTCTCATTACTGGAAGGCTGGTCATCTTTGTTTTCATTGTTGTCAGGATTCTCCTCCATCTCCTCCATTGCAGAGTCCTCATCATGGATTTGGTCATCCAGGCACAGGGAAGGGGAAGGGAGTGTTGGGGTGTTCACAATGGAAGGATGAGGTGTCAAGGAGTGTCTTCTATCTCTCAGGCCAAACATGTGCTCTTCCCAGCCTTCAGGAGGCTGGACTGCACACCACAGTTTTGGTTTGCCAATCATATCCTTCGGAGTAGATTGCTGTGAGCAGAAAATGATGTTAGAGTAATGGATGAGAAGTATACTACAAGATGTACCTCTGAGTGTTGCACTCCATCATTAGAGACAACAGCACCACCTTTTTTTACTCATTTGGAAACTGGGGCACTTTGTGAGGACAGAATCCTTCAGTTGTGAAGAATGCAAGTGTTCAAGTCAGCAAGGAAGTCCCTTCAAGGCTCTGGGATATTAGCAGAGTGGGGCATGGTTGTATGGGGGTGTTAAGAAACAGGGGGAGGCAAGGTGAGTATTTAAGGTCAGAGTACATCAAGGCAAGATGAACCACATGGGAAAAAAAATCTGTCTAGAACATGTTGTCTCAGCATGCAAAGTTCTGGATATAGCATCAGCAAGGACATATAAAACCACAAAAAGAGGACACAACATAAGGGGGACGAAGGAAAAGCATGCAGGAAGGAAGTGGTTGTAATGTGTAGCGAGGATGACACACCTATTAAAATGGAAACATATGGGTGGAATTCCAATTGAAATCCAGAATGGCGGTATTCCATCTGCACAACCCAGAGAGTGGGGTTCCTCAGGACTGAAAAACCACAAGAGTTCATCAGTATCCAGCAATAGAGAAAGGAATGGGCTTACTAGACAGAAAATGAATCATTCAAGCCCCTAAGGGCAGTCACTGACAAGAGCAGGGTTGATGCAGTCCAATAGATGCAGTCCCTTTCATGTGATCAATAGCCAAATCGAGCATATAACATAGACCAAACATCAGAGGTATGACAACCTTTGGGCAAAGTTGTTGCTGAAACAAATCTCTGGTACTGTCTAGGTGGCCATGGACAAGAATAGTGGAGGGATCAGTCGAGTTAGGTGGCATTAGATGTATTGATACTGGTGGTGCAGGAAATTCTGCATAAATGGGGATCGAGGGGGATAAGGTGGCAGGTGTACACTCTTTGCAGTGTGAGTCAAAGTGAGGATCAGTGGTGAAAACCAACCAAAACCAACACAAAAGACAATGAAAGCGAGTGGTGGTGTGCCTATGCGGTACCTAGATGGTAGAACCTGTTCTTTGGGAGGTTTTTTGTGAGCTACAACACTCAAAGATGAGTGCTGAGGGTTGGGGGTGCTCCTGATGAAGAGGGAGCAAGAATGTGATAGAAAGCGATAGGGTAGACTGCTGTCAGCCTACAGAAGGATGGATGGTGACTTGATTCGATGTCCTAAGCTGTACCGAGCTCAGGGAGGGCTTGGAGCGAAGTATATGGATGATAGATGATGATAAGCGAAGTAGATGATAGCTAGACCCTTAATAAAGTCTCAACTATTGAAGCTGATGAATGATTTACTGAGAGATGATAAATTGCAAGCAAGAGGGGCTCTCTGATGTCTTTTTTTTTTTTTGCTACCTAAGTACAGTGACTAATATACAGTACAGGGGCGTTGCCTATGGAAAACAAGGTGCAAACACTTGGTAAGCGATTGGTAACTGATGAGTAAGGAATGTAAGTGATGGGTAATTGTCTTGGAAAGCATTGGTAAGCATTGGTAAGGATAAGTAAGCCAAAAAGCAAAGAATCAGTAAGCAAAGTCAAAAGATTGGTAAGTATTGGCAATAGGTGAGTCAAAGACAGTCAGAATGTCAAAGTATGAGTCAAGCAATGTCAGGAACTGGGAAAGTGCACTGGAATTGCATTAGGGGGAGGCTGTGCATGTCACATCTTGAAGAGATCGCTTCTAGGCCAAAGTGGGATGACAGAGAGGCAGCACTGATCTGATGGCGATATAGTACATCCAAAAGCAGACAGGGTGAGTCAGATGTCAACAGGGGTCAAGCTTTGGGGGTCTGTGGGGTGACAGGAGCATAGGGGATCGCAACTTTCCCCCCCAAACCATCCTCTCAGTGAAGCAAATAAAAACTTCATGAACAAGGCTCTGTTGGAAGGGAGGATGAAGGGGGAGCGTCTTCTGCTGTATCTTGCAACAAGGAGGCAAGATGTGCATCATACTTGTCATGGATGCGATCAGGGAGAGTGGAGAACAGTAGATTATACTGTAGCTGTCGCAATTTTGGAAGAATGATGGACAAGACTGGTATGAAGACATTGCAGGGGGCAGGGAGGAAGGATCCATATGCTTCTTGGATTGGAGAGACTGAAACAACCACATAAGACCTTTCCAAGCGAATGACAGACCTGAGGCGACCAAAGAACATCCTCCTGGAGGTCATACTGACAAAAAGAACACACTGTCCAAGCTGGATGGGCTGAGAGGGGGCAGATGAGGGTGGGATGTACCAGGACACTTCAGGATGGAAGCTGGTAGGAACTCCTGGTAGATATATGTAGCCATGGTCCCTAGCAAAGGGGACAAGCGAAATGACTGATGTGGAGGCAGCCATATCAGAAGAATTAGTGAAATGAGCATCTTTTGGAGGGAGTGCTGTAGAAATGTGTGGAGTGTGCAAATCCTTTCCAATCTTGGAAGGTAGGATCGCATGGCTGAGCACTACAAGCGAGTGTGGGAATGGTTTCGGTGTCTGCAGAATTGGTGGAGATACGTCAAAAACTGGAATGCCATACACAGGCACTTAAGAATTTTACTGGCGCTTAACCTGCCTCCTCCTTTTTCTTTGGCATTGACAACCTGTTCATGTGCAAGGGATGACTGCCGACATTGCTGGCTGTCCTTCTTCGCATGAGGGCTATGGTCTTCACCTCCATTCATCAGCTACATCCATGTCCACCTCACCAAACACCTTTGGTGTGTGACACCGTAACTGACAGAAGTTGGGCAGAGTTGGTGTGTTAGTGAGTGAATGACTGGCAGAAAGGGGTGTGGAGTGAGTGAGGACTTAGGGTGAACACATGACCATGACAATGTGCAAGTGCATACATAATGGAAATGGGCACTTAGTGGAATGACTGTCAACTGCCATACATTACTCCCACCAAAATATGTTCAATGGTTAAACCAGTACATTGAATATTGTAAATCACAGCATCACCAGAGTGAGCATTTGTATTGTGCTTATGTAAGCCTGTTGAATGGTGTATGCTAGCTGGCAAATTCACCACACTGCTCAAGCACCCACCACCTGCACACCTAAGCTTTAACAGCACTATGTCTACCACCAACACCAGCACCTTCATCCTGGCACAATTGACCAACAACATCCAGCCAGTCATTACTGCTGAAAATGCCAAGCAGATGGTTGAGGAGGCTGCCAGGGTTGCAATGCAGGCACTGAGAGGACTTTGGGGCCAGGATGCTAAGCACTGGGGCAAAGTGGCTCAGCTTGTGTGGGCCCAGCTGGTAAGTGAAATTGCAGCCATGATATCCATTCCTGACATCTATGTAGGGAATGGTCCACATGGTTGTTGAACAGTGGTGATGTGCCAGAGCACATGGCATTGGTGCCAGGATGGCTTCCATGGCATTAGCATTGTGCTGGTTCACATTAAATCAGTGCCAGCCAGGATGGCTTCCATGGCATTAGTCCTGGGTTGGTGTTGGCCTGGTTCACATTGCATTGGTGCTGGGATGCCTTGAATGGCATTGGTATTGGGTCTGCCCACATGGAATCGATGCCAGGACAGCCAGCATGGCATTGGTATTGGGCCTGTTCATATTGCATTGGTGTTGGCCTGGCTCACATGGCATTCATCCCAGGATGGCCTGCATGGCATTGGTGGTGGGCTGGCCCACATGGCAGTGTTGCTGGGATGGCTAGCATGGCATTGGTGTTGGGCTGGCTTGCATGACAGTGTTGCCAGGGGTGAACTCAGGGGCTGAGCCCATCCATACCTTCTGGGGACACCCAACTCTGGGCTTACCTGGGACTACTCATATTGCAGTGGCTACACCCTAATCCCACAGCTGGCTTGTACCCCATGATGACAATTCTAACCTCTGCCCAGCCATTCTCCATAATGACTCCTACTCTTGGGCTCAGCTGTATGCTATGGTGACACTCATTTATTGGGCTCTCCCATAGTCCATGATGACACTTACTCCCCAGCCTGCTTGTAACTGACAATGACAATTCAAACCACAGCTGCACCATTCCTCATGACAACATTTCCTCTCAGGCTCAGCTGTACTACATGGTGACACTCATCAGTTGGGCTCTCCCATACTACAAGGTGACAATAGGTTCATGGCTCTCATGTAACACATGCACAAGTCATACATGGGCTCAACCTCTGCTGGCCTGTCACTGATGGCCAATTGTCAGCCCCTGCTGACTGTCTCATATGGCCTAACCAGGTGCATGGGCTCATTTCCACCACTAGCATTACTGTCTCACTACATGCTTAGGACATGTGTTGTCATTGCTCAACCAATGGCATAGTTACCTTGTTATATGTGGATGCCTTATGGTCTGTTTCCTTGTAGTATTTAGCCTGTTGGCTCAAGTCTTGGAACCCCAGACTTGAGCTGCTCAATCATATGCAGCATTTCACAGAAATCTATAACAAGATCTCAGTCGAGTGCACGAGTGGCAAACGTCTATATTTGCATTACCTATAATGAGATCTAAGGTAACGATGTGAGCGCAAAGTACACGAACACGGAACAAGACACTATACCCACCTCAGTCGAGTGTGTGAGTGGCAAATGTCTGAGGTGGTGTTACTACAGTAGCAAGTTAAGTACGCTATATGAAACAAAAGGGGTGAGACATGGGTGTTGAACCTGGTGTTGAAACTACAAGCATGGTCATAGCACAAGTCCTTGTACCATTAATTTATACATATGAAACATTTGAAGTCAATAAAACAAAAGTTACCACGCTGTATTGTCAGCGCTCGAGAACAACTAAGTATTGTGGTCTTGCAGACCTGTAAACGGGAAGTGTTTCCCATGGTAAGGAAAAGTAGTGTCAATTAATGAACGAAGACTATGAGTGACTTGCCAAATCTAACACTCCCCCTCAAGTCGGATGTAGGCCGAGTTCAACCGCAAAATGCTTCACCTTCAGAGATGGCAGCACCTTCGTTAACGTATTGGTGATCATGTCTGCAGTTGGGCAATATATGAGGCAAATTTTGCTGTTCTCTACAACCCAGTGAATGAAGTGAAAATGGATATCAATGTGTTTGGTGCATGTGTGATACTGGTGGTCTTTGGTGAGTGCGATGGCTGATTGATTATCAGAAAACAACGTGGTCGGCTTGATGAATGGCTGAAAAAGCTCTCCAATGAGTGACCAAAGCCACAAGGCCTCCTTGGCCATGTGTGTGGTTGCCATGTACTTGCTCTCAGTCGTTGAGAGCAAGACAATTTCCTGTCTTTTAGAAGACCACGACACCACTCCACTGTCTATTAGAAAAACATACCCTGAGACCGCTCTGTGGTCTTCCGCCATACTGCCATCTGCATCTGTGTACCTGATCAACACACTTGGTGATCCCCCATACATGAGTTGCAAGCCCTTCGTCCCAAGAAGGTACCGATAAATTCTCTTTACAGCTTCCCAATGAGCGATTCCAGGGTTGCCTGAGAAATGTGAGATGGTTGTTACAGTGTATGAGATGTCAGGACGAGTGGCAAGGGAGGTGTACATGAGCAATCCTACGGCTTCTCAATAGGGTACATGGCGCATTATAGCAAATTCAGCACCAGTTGACAGTGACTGCCCAGAATGCAGTCTGGTGCTGGGTTCCATCGGGTTCAACATGGGCTTGAGCTTGTTGAAGCTGAAGTGTCATATGATGGACTCAGTGTAGGGGCGTTGGCACAGGGAGATGGTACATTCATCTCTATTTCTGGTTACTTCAATGCCCAGCAGCCAGTGAAGTTCCCCAAGGTCAGTAATCTCAATGTATTTCCTGACGTTGTGCTTAAGCTCCTCTATCTCATTTAGGGACATTGCAGCAATGGTGCAATCATCGACATGGATGACAATGATGACAAGCTCACCAGTGGTGCGTCATCTGAAATAGATGGCCTGGTCGACCGAGCACTGGGTAAGGCCCAGCTCATCAACAAGGATCTCCACTAATCTTTGGTACCAGTGATGGCTGCTCTGCTTCAAACCATACAATGTCTTTCAGAGGTGACAGACTTTATTGGGGTGATTGGTGGATTTGAAGCCTGGGGGCTGTTGCATGTGGATTACTTCATCATTGGTAAGTGTACCATTCAGGTATGCGCCTTTGATATCGATCTGATGGAGTTCCAGGTTTGATTGCGCTGCCATGGCAAGGACAGTTCAAATGGACATGAGTGTTGCGACTGGGGCGAAGGTATCAAAATAATCGACGCCTTCGACTTGAGAGAAGCCTTGAGTGACGAGTCGGGCTTTGTACCATACCACATTTCCAGCAGCATCTTTCTTCGTGCAGAACACCCATTTGGATCCAACTATGTTGGCACCACAAGGTGCATCAATGAGTTCCCAAGTACCTGCCACATGTAACGTTGCTAACTCTTCTCTTATCCCAGCCTCCCACTGTGGCCAATCTGGCCGACGATGAGCCTCAGCTAGTGAGGTGGGCTCAAGGGCTTTGGACTTGGCAGTGACTTCATTCATGGCCATAGCGAGGTCAATATTGCAAAGGGCATTGTCAGGATCATCTACAATGGATGCAAGCAAGGCTGCGGCTCTGTCCTCCCCCTCAAGCCTGGTGGGATTGGCTTTGTCTTCGACTGTGGTGGGGAGCTGGACTCCTTTGGGTATGTTGGGTATACCACGACTGTTAGTACTGCCTTTACTGGCAAGGATATCAGCAAGTCGTTGACTGGGCTTTTGAATGCGCTTTGCAGTGGGTGGGTCGGCTGGAAGAGATGGGGGTATGGGATGGTCTGGAGCAATGGATTCTGGAGCAACAGGTGAGAGTGATGGGGCCATGTTGGTCACTGCGATGGGAGCTGGAGGCGTTAACATCGCATTTGGTAAGTACCCTTCTTCTTCCTCCCCCTCACGAGGTAATGACTCAGTGGAGGAGGGATCCCAATACACGTTTCTTTCAATTGTAACTGACTCTTCTCAGCCAGGTGACGAGTGACGGTGGGTGAAATATGTCCCATCCTGTGATGGAGTTCCATGACAGTGACGGTCTCGACCACTGCACTTGTTCCATCATGCACACCATCATGGATGACTCGGTAGAGACCTGCTTGGGTGTTTGGTATGCACCTGATAATGTTGTCGTCGGGACTGTGGATGGTACAGGTTCCATCAGCTGAAGGTAACAGAATATCCTAACTGATCAAGATGTCTGATGGACACCAGGGTGTAACCCACCGTGGGAGAATATAAGACTTTGGTGAGTCTTAACTTTGTTACATTGCATCCATTTGGGACCTCGATAATTAAATCACTGATTGCAGTTGCATTAAAGGATTGTTTGTTAGTGGCCACGAACGTTTTGGGCGGGATGTCAGTTAGGGACAGGAAGCAATCTTTGTATGGAGAGATGTGCCATGTGGAGCTGGAGTCATAGAGTTCTACAGTGGTCATGCTGACTGGCCCATCATGCACGAGATTGACCAGATCAGGTGGTAGGTAATCTCCATCATTTCCAGTGTCTCCTATTTCGCTGAACAAGTCTTCCTCAGTGGGGACAGTAGTTTGCCCTTTCTTCATCGTCATCATCAGAGACACTCAGCAGGTCAGGGATAGGAAGATTGTCATTGAGGTCATTCACAGCAATGACAGAGAATGCTCCTTCCTCCTCAGAGTTGAAAATCACTGCATTAGCTGAGTCCCTTTTCACATCATCTGTCGCACTGCGATTGGCTGACCTATCAAGTTTTGGGCATCTAAATTTGAAATGCTCTCTCAATCTGCAGTTCCAGCAAGGGCCACACTGATGAGCAGGGCCTGTGGAACTTCCTCCCTGTTGTCTGTCTCTCCAATTTCCTTGCCTGTGACTGGAGGAATTCCCGGGGGTCATGGCCAAGGCTTCATCGCCTTCATGAGCCCTATGTTTATGATGTGAGTGCCACGTCTCTTTGTGATTTCATTGTTCTGACTCCTCGATAATGAGGGAAATAAGGATATCGGGGTCAATGGTTTGAGTTGGACTGTACAGACGAGCGGTTGCAAGTTGGCCAGACACGAAGCTGGCAAGGTATTTAGGTAAGGATTGAATGATAGTCGATCGATAATCCTTTTCTTTGATCTGTATGCCGATGGCAGCTAACTCGTCCCTTTTCATATGTAGATCATCCAAGAATTGGCAGACATCGCCATCGATGGGGCATTGCATGCCCAGGAACTTTGTTCGAAGATCTGTCTGAGCATAAGCTCCCTTTTCGGTGTACTCGTGGATGATTTCACTCCACATGCCTGCAATGTTTCCGAGGCTGCATACCTGCAGAGTGGTGGTATCCAGAATTCATTGAGTGAGTAAATGTTTCGCCATACTCTCACTTTTCTGCCAT